GGAGCCTGAGGCCCCGGTAGCGCTCGTCAGCCAGGTCCCTGCCAGGCTTCCCTGCTCCTGCCCTCTCCTCTCTCTGCCTCCCACTGCTGCCCATGGTGCTGAACCCCCCCCATCCCTCCCTTCCAGCCTTTGTCCCCTCCCTCTTTGTCTCCTCTCCCCGCCCCCCCTCCCCGGAGCTCTCTATACTAGGGCACCTCTTAGGACAGGTGTGTGGATGTCCCGTGTGGAAGGGTTTGGAGCATCACCCGAACCTTGGACCGTCCCTGCCCTCAGCCCTGCACCCCCTGTGTGTAAGACTCAGCTCTGTCAGTGACTTGACTTCTGTCCCCGGCTGGGTGTAGGACCCCAGGCTAAAGAAGGAGAAGATTTGGACCCTCAGTGGGAGCAGGAACATAAGCAGTGAGCCGGAAACAGCCAGGACAGCCCTCAGCAGGCTCTGGGCTCTGCCCTTTATGAGTCTATGCCTCCCAGGGGTTACCGGTGCCCCAGCGGTGCCCCTCTCCCCCTCTTCCTGGAGGCTGATGGGGGTGCCAGCCACCCCCTTTCCTACGTTGGGAGGGAGAGGAGGAAGTGTGGGAGTGGTTTCGTCAAAGAGTGAAGCCAGAGCCAGGGAGGTGCAAACCCCTTTTCCTGGCACCTGGCTGGAATCTGCCTGGCACCGTGCAAGGGGGCAGGGGTGCCAGCAGAGGTGCCCAGTGGGAGAGAGCAGGAGCTGGACCCTGGGTTGTGGACACCATGGAGGGGAAGGGAAGGAGCAGTGCTCCCGCTTGGGAGAAAGAGAAAGGTCAAGAGTGGCGTGATGGAGGATGTGGTGCTCCCCAGGGGTCCCGGGGTGAGCCCCTTCCAGGGCCAGGCCGTCCTGGGCTGGGGTGCTCGGGAAAGGGGCACCAGGAGGAGGCTGGAGGGTCTCGGAGCCTCCCACACGGAGCTGCAGAAGTGATGGAGCTTGGTGAGTCACCGCAGGCACAGGGGTGGGGGATGACGCCCACTTCCTGCGAGAGTGTCACCTCGACTCACGGCCCAGCTGCCCTGGGGCCTTCCACCCGGTGCTGGCCTTGGGGCTGCTGGTGGGGGGCGCAGAGCCCCCAGAATTCAGGCATCTGCCACACGCCCCTCCCTGCCAGCCTCACATCCGGGCCTCTCCACCAGCTGACCTTCAAGTGTTGCTCCTTACCTGGGCCTCGATTTCCCTGCAGGAAATTAGGTGGTCTGGAGGCACATGTCCCATCACATCGCAGAGCTGGGAAGTTCTCCGTTGGGTGCTCTGGGCCGAGAAGCGGGTGCAGCCATCCCCATAGGGTGGGGCAAGGATTCCCCTGGTTGCCACCACCCCCAGGGCCGAGAGGAGGACGGCATGTGTTTTGGGGCCAGTGTCACTGCAGACTTGCGGTGTAACCTTGGGGAAGACACAGCGATCCCTGTGCTCAGCCAGCCCAACTATGGAGGGAGGCTAGTGCTGTTAGCCGCCTCGCAGGTGTGGGGCAGGCGATGGGCAGGAGTGCACGGTTAGTGTCTGAAGGAAAGCTGGCATACGGGCTCCTTCTGGAAATATTGGGGGAACGGGCTCCCTGTAGTTTCTTTTTTCTTTTCTTTTCTTTCTTTCTTTCTTTCTTTTTTTTTTTTTTGGCTTTTTTTTGGGTCACTCCCAGTCATGCACAGAGGTTACTCCTGGCTCTGTACTCAGGAATTACTCCTGGTTGTGATTGAGGGACCATATGGGATGATGAGAATCAAACCCAGGAGGCCGCATGCAAGGCAAATGTCCTACCCGCTGGTGCTATTGCTCCAGCCCTTCTCGCTGTATTTTCTTGCATCAATTTCTGGGTCCCTCCAGAAATAGCTGTGAAGTAGCTGGTTGTTCCTCCCATCCTACAGATAACCACATCGAGGCACAGGAAGACAAATGTCTTACCGGAGTCCCCAAGGCTAAAAACGGTCACATGTTGGTCCTGGAGTCCAGTTACTGAATACATGCCAGGATCTTGTGCTGTGTTGTCCTCAGATCGCTCGAAAATGCAGAAGCTGGTGCCTCCAGGGACGGGTCAGCCCGTGCTCCTCACGGGATGGGAGCACTCCCACCAGACTGCAGGGGCCTGTCCCTGCCCCCAGAGAGAGCCACCAGAGCTGGCAGGGGTGCTGGCGACTGGGATGGGGAGATGCTGGCAGGGCCGGGAGTATGACCCAGGGGACACAATCCTGTGTGTGGCCCCAGGAGGCCCCGTGGGGAGCTGTTGGGCAGGATGGTGACAGGGTGGCTTTAGGGTTGAGGACATCACAGGGGAGGATTCCTGGGAGGTCCTGACTGCTCATGCTGCTCTTCCTGGAGGGACTGTCCAGCTGGGCCTGATGTACCCTGAGTGGGGGGAGCCAGCCTGGCATGGGGTCCTGAGGAGGTACCCCAATCCCTCAGACATCACTGGGGCGCCTGTCCTGTCTGATGTCATTGCCCAGGTGCCTGGTGACAGAGTGAAAGTTGGGGGGGGGGCTCTGATCCCGGTCCCTTTAATCCTGACGGAGTCTCACCTTTGGGTAACCCCACATCACACACGGGGCCTTGTACTGGCACCTTCAGCAGGTTCCTGGGGCACCTGTCTGATGTGGGGGGTTTGTTTTCTGGAGGTGGTCACACCCGCCGATGCTCAGGGGTTATTTTTGTCTCTGTTCTCAGGATCAGTCCTGGCAGGATATGGACTACCAGGGACTGAACCAGGGTCGGGCACAGACAGCCTACCCGCTGTGCTGTTGCTCTCCTCCCTGACATATGCTTATGTACTTGTGGGGACCACATTGGCAATGTTGAGGGTCTCCTGGCTCTGCACTGAGGGGTCACTCCTGGCTGGGTTCTGAGGATTCTCAGGGAACTGAATCTGGTCAGCTGAGTGCAAGGCCGTGTCCTCCCCCCTGTGCTACCTCCCTGGCCCTGAGATGTGTTCATGCATGTCTTACGTATGTCTGCTCTGCGAGTCTCTCTCTGCCTCACAAGCGTGTAAGAGAAGCACAGAGAAGGCGCGAGCAAGAGACACTCTCAGAGCACAAGCCCCTGCCTGACCCTGCAGCCATGCTTGGAAGCTGGAAGCCTCCAACTCCTCCGGGTCGGGTCAGCTTGGGGCTCTCGGGAAGGTTCAAGCAGAGGCCTGGTTTTCGCATACGAGGGTCCCACCCGTCCTTGTGGAGGCTGGCTCGGGGATCTGGGGTGAGGCCTATCCTGCAGGCAGCAGCTCGGTGGAGGCTGGAGTTGCAGAGGTGTTGGAGCCGGCCCTTAGGAGCGAGGACTGCCTGTCCACTCCAGGCTCCGGGCTTGCTCCCAGCTCCTGCCTCCTCTGGCCAGGTGAGGTGTCTCTATCGTCTTGAGGAAGCAAAGGGAAGCTGGGGCCACTGGGGCCGAGGGTCTGGTTTGTGATCGGAACCAGATCAACTGGGTGAGAACCGGGACAATGGAGGTGGCACTGGAATCCTGGAATCACCCACATGTGCTAGACAGAGACCCCCCACCCCTCGACTTCATGCCCGTCAGTCTTGGCCAGAGACTGCCTGGTCGAGCGCCCTGACAGGGTGAGGGGTGGCCGGGTTCCTGCTGCCCAGGCTGGCCGCCCCTGGAAGTGATATAGGTAATGCTGGGCCTGGGGCCCCTGGGCTCGGGGGGTGGGGTGGGAAGGGGATCCTGGCAGGGGGTCTGGAGACTGACCCCAGCACAGGAGACACCGGTCAGCGCCCCGCACCTGAGTTTAGCTCATACCCGAGGCCTTGTTCCACATCTGTGAGCCTAGAGCGGGCAGAGCACGGCCCCTGCCCCCAGCCTGCTCCCGGCTGCTTCTTGTGCTCCTTCTGGGGTGATCACTGCCACCAGCTCATCTGGAGCTGTCAGGAGCTGGGGAGATAGGTGTGCGGGCAGGACCCGAACACAAGGCTGGGCCTCTCGGCAGCTCTGCTGTGTGTGTACTGGGTCCAAGTCAGGGCTTGCAGCCCCTCCTCCCCCTCTCCCCGGACTTGGCCCTTGGGGGTGGGTGGTTGACCCCACACAGGCTGACTTTAGTCTTGGTAGTGATGGACTCGTGGTCGTAACGATCTTTGAATCACTGTGTAGTATTCCAGGGATGGCTGCACGGGGACCTATTAGCAGCACCCGCTTGATGGATGCTTTGCTGCCCCATTTTTTTTTTTCCTGTTGATGCTATTTTAAATGGTGCTGCAGTGAATGGCCTCACACGTGCTGCTTTTGGTACAGGCACAAACATTTCTCTAGGACACGTACCCAGATGCGGTGGTGCTGGCTCAAAGGGAATGTGGGCGCTTGATCCACTTCAGAGGCAGGCTGCGTGCTCCCTCTGGAATGGACCTGAGCGGTCGCCAGCCCCCCACTGGACACGCTGAAACCTATCTCCAGGCTCACCCCGGCCCCCGGGCCCTCCCTCCTCAGGGCTATCGCCCTCCCCATCCTCCTGCAGCCCCCTGCAAACACTCTTCACTGATTTTTCTATGGGTCATAGGGAAAGACTCAGACCTGGAGGTCAGGTGAGCATAGGAGGTGGGTGGACGCAGTCAGCTGAGTCCCGGGCTGCCGTGGGGCGTCTTGGCTCCTGGTGCTGGCTCAGCGATCAGGCCTCCCTGAGTGCTGCCCGCTGCTGAGATGGGCCCTGCCTGAGTCCTGCTACTGGGCAGGGCACGAGGCGCCTTCTGGGCCGGAGACACCGGGATGTCCTCACCAGAGGGCACACACGTGCCAGTGGGGCTCTCACCAGGACGCAGACCCGGGGAGGTCACTGGCTGCCGAGCAAAAGCTGTCTGGACTGTTCTGGGGGCGGCTGGGGGCTGAGTCAGCCAGATCCTTCCGTGCCCCCAGCACCTGGCACCTAGGAGGGGCTTATGCTCATGGGACGGAGAGCACAGACCTGCCAGGGTGAGGAGGGCTGGAGGGGCTCGGAGTCTCCCAAGGGCCCTTTCCGCCCTCACAGAGCTCCTGCTTTGCCTTTCCCCAGCCTGTGAACACGGCGGACTGACCGGGTGCCAGGAGCATCATGGGCCGCGTCGGCCGAGCCTCGCTGGCTGCTGTCCTCCTGCTGCCTCTGGTAAGGCCCTGAACCCTCCCCACGGTCACCTGCACCCCCGCCAGATGTTGCCACCAAGTGGCCCGCCTGGTGCTTCCGTGTAGACCAGGAAGGGCACCCCCTCCTCAGTCCCTGTGCCCGTTTGTGGCCATCCGGGCGGGGGAGGTGCCGGCCACCAAGTCCTGGGAACGGCCTGCACAGCCGCCTGCAGCTCTGGCCAGGGCTGCCCAGGGCTCCTTTGATCTCCGTGCCCAGCCCACCCAGTGAGATCCCAGCCCGGCCCCTGGTGAGTCTCTGAGCTGGGACTAGGGCAGGTCGTGGGCCTCCCCTCTACCGACCGCAGGTGCTGCTGCCCTCAGAGCTGGGACAGTAGCTGGGATGCTGTCCCACCAGGTCACCACATGCAGAAGCCTGCCCATGGGCCCCTCACTGCCCAGTGTCGTCCAAGCGGGATTGAATCCTGCCCACACCCACTGGGGTACCTTCCATGCAACCACCCTACCCAAGTGGAAGGGGCAGGATGTGACTATTACAATGGGCTTTGAAGTCCTTGGTCCAAGCTTTGTGCTGTGTGATCTTGGGCGGGTGTGGAAACTTTCTGAGTCTGTGTCCTCTTTTTTTTTTTTGCAAAATGGCCCTCCCGTTGATCGTCGATTTGCTCGAGCGGGCCCAGTAACGTCTCCATTGGAGACTTTGTTGTTACTGTGTCTGGCATATTGAATACTCTCGGTAGCTTGCCGGGCTCTCCGAGAGGGGCGGAGGAATCGAACTTGGGTCGGCCATGTTGGCCGCTTGTAAGGCGAACGCCCTACCGCTGTGCTATCACTCCAGCAAAATGGGGCAGGTGTAAACAAGCATGAGAGGTGCCCCTCCCCCAGGGGATGCATTGCAGCTGGTCTGCCTTGGAGTCCCCAGAGGAGGGAGGGGGATAATCTGTGTCCCCTCGTTCCCACCTGTGGCTCGACAGACCTCCTGGGTTCGAGTTTGGACTGACAACAATGTCAGGGACCACCGGGCCAGCGGCCTCTGAGCTCAGTGCTCAGTGTCCTGTCTCGAGCTGGAGATAGTGCTGGGGACAGGCACACGTGGTCGGCCTCAGTGCCATCTCTCATACTGTGTGCCCCCCCCCCCCCCCCCGGTACCACCAGGGGCCGTTCCTGAGTGCAGAGCCAGGGCTAGCCCCTGAGCCCCACGGAGTATGACCCTGACATGGTGCCATGCCCATCACGTTCCCCCGATTCTATAAAGCTGCTCTGGGACAGAGCAGCGCGTGCCTGGCAGAGTCACTGATGTTAGAGATGGAGGAGCAGTCCCCGGGGAGGACTGTTCTGCTGGGGGTATCTGAGACAGGACACCTCCCCGCTGCTTCCAGGACACTGCTCTGGAGTCTGGTGGTGGGATTTGGCTGCCGCTCCTGCCCCCTCCCATGCCCTCTGTGCCCCCCACAGGCCGCTGCCATGCACTCGGACTGCATCTTCAAGAAGGAGCAGGCCTCGTGCCTTAAGAAGATTCAGCGGGCAAATGACCTGATGGGCCTCAACGAGTCCTCGCCGGGTGAGTGGGGGGCGTGCGCATTCCCGGGTTGACTGGCCTTGGGCCCTGGAGCTGTCTGCACAGCCGCCGTCCTTGGGCCCAGGCTTCTGGGTGCTTCTCTGGAAGCACCACGCTGGGTGGCAGGAGGCACCCACTTCCGGCACGGGGCTGACCTGGGCTGTGGCTGAGCCTGGCAGTGGCCACTCAGTTGCTGCCCGTGGCTGAGTCTCCGCATGCTCCGTGGGATGGGGGCTTCCTGCAGCCTTGTGGGCAGCTCAGACGGCTGCTGTGTCCTTGTGCTGGACGGTGCCATGTGCTGGAGGACACTCAGCAGCCTTAACTGTCCGCCGTGAGAGCGCCCAGAGTCCCGCATGCCTGGGCTGACCCCCAAAGTGTCCCACAATAGCTCCAGATGTCTCGGGGGGCTGTGAACCCTCTCCCCTTTTCCCTTGCCATGCAGACAGGATGCCGGCATCTTCTCAGCCCCGTGACAACCCCCTTTCTCCCCCACCAGTCCCCCCGGAGGTGTGCATGAATAGCTGGGAACTCCTCGGGACAGGGGACATTCCTGGAGACCATGCAGGCTGCGGGGATCCATGTTCCCCGCCGGGCTTCCCTGCTCCAGGAGCTCATCTGAGCACCATCTGTTTAAACGCCTGAGTAATCTGCAGCCCAGTTAAAAGGAACGGTCCCCCTGGGCCCGGCTCCCTGGCCAGTTAGCGAACATTAACTGGTAATGGAGCTGCTCTGGCCACGCTGGCCTTTTCTTCCAGTGAAGTGGAGCTGAAAGAAGATTCTCTGGAAAGGTGGAAGGGAGCAACACCCTTTCCCTCCCAGGGAGGCATGGCCCTGTAGTTTAACGCATGGTCCATTCACTTTTCTGCTGCAAGCTGCTGGGCTCTGGACTAAGTCCTTTTGCCTCTGGAGCCACGGCCATGCCAGAGAGCAGCTCGTGGGGGGGCAACTCGTGACCTTGGTAGGGCGTGAAGGACGAGCTGGTACCGTCCCCCTTCCCATGAGACTGCAGTTACCCTGTCACTGCCGGCTCATACCTGGCTTTTCAATAAGCTCTGAGGCGGTGGCCACCTTGTATGCGGTCCAGATGCCTTTCTGCCAAAAGCTGCTGGGTTTCTAGATTTGTTTCTGAGTCTCTGGGATCATGGCCATTAATTAGCTTGATCAGGAGCCAGAGAGGCCTTTCGTGAGCGATGACTTGGGGTCACGTTGGGGTGGGGAGGACAAGCCCGACTCCACACCCATCCCGTGAGGCCCTGTGTGTCTCGTCACTGGGGGCCCAAATGTGACTATCCAGTGGCCTCAGAAGGATGGCGGCCACTGGGCCACCAGGGAGAACAGGCCAAGGCACGAAACCTATTCCCACCTGGGTTGGCCCAGCACTGGTAGCCTACTGCAGAGACCGGACGCATTTCTACCTAAAGCCTCTGGGTTCCGAGATTCGTTTCTGAGTCTCTGGGATCATGGCTGTTAAGCAGTTTGATCAGGAACCAGAGAGGCCATGCCTCCAATTATATAGCTGTGCCGGAGGTGGTTTGTAGGTGTGTCTCCCACATACCTAACCTTTGTCCGTTTACTTTCTTGGTAAACTATGCCCCAAGTTTTTGGGGTCTGGCCAAAGGCACAATAGCAATTTTGGGGTATCTGAAAGTCTGACGGTGCCGTCAGGCTGCTGATGCACTCGCTTCACAGGTACAGATTGACCTGCTGGCAGCACCATACCCCCAAGAAGTCCAGATCCTTGGGTCTCAGACCTGGCTGCCTACCTGAATCACTGGCTTAAGACAAATTTCTCCAAGCTGTATTCCAAACCCATTTAGTTAGGAGCTTGGTCAGTTTTGTCACCTTGATTGGAATTCACCCTTCTCGCCCTGCCCCCGTCATTCCCAGGAGAAGACAGATTGAGAACCCCTGAGTGGGTGCTCAAGTGGGTACTGGATAAACAAATGACAACTGAAGATGGATGAATGCAAAGAACATTCTGGACTGAGGGGACTGTGGGGCAAGAGATGGAGGCACTGGACCTGACTCTGGGTAGGGAGAGACATTTTCCTGCATTCCCCCCTGAATTGCAGAGGGTGGGGTGGCCTCAGAACATGGCGAGGGAGAGGTTGCGCCTCAGAACAGGTTGTTGGTTCCCTCTGCTCTGGAGCTGGAAGACAGGACAGCACCAGCATGGCATGGTCCACTGAGTGAGCTGGTGACCCTCAGCTTCCCTCGGGGCGCCACCTGTCTCTCCTCTAGTGCTGACTCACCCCAGAACATGAGCCCAAGTTAAGGACTTTTGGCCTTTGGAAAAGTCACTTGCCCACTCACATGCTCACCCATTCATTAACCCTCTCACACTCACTCACCCTCTCCTCTACTCACCCCCTCATTCGCTCACTCACCCTCTCATCCACTCACCCACTCATCCACTCACTCGCTCACTCATCCACTCACTCACTCAGTAACTCATTCACCCTCTCACACTCACTCTCTCATTCACTCACCTACTCATTCACTTACCCACTCAACCACTCGCTCACTCATCTACTCATTCGCTCGCTAACTCCCTCGTTCACCCTTTCACACTCACTCAACCTCTTATCCACTCTTTCACCCTCTCATCTATTCACTCACCCACCCTCTCATCCACCCACTCACCCACTCAATCACTCACCCACCCACTCACCCACTCTCACTTGTTCACTCTTACTTCCTCACTTTCACTCACACTCACTCTTACTTGCCCACTCACTCTTACCAACTTTCCCACCCACTCACCTACTCATCTTCTCACTCACTCACTCACTCACTCACTTGCTCGCTCGCTCGCTCGCTCACTCACTTGCCCACTCATTCTCCATCACAGACTCTCAACTTGCTCATTCACTCGCTGGCTGAGCCTCACTCCCTTACTCCCTCTCTCCCTCACTCTCACTCCCTCTCTCTCACCACAGCACTCCCTCACGCCCTTACTCTGCCCGCCCTCCCTCCCTCCCTCCCTCCCTCCCTTCCTCACTCCCTCACTCCATCCCTCCTTCCTTCCTCACTCCTCACTCATCACTCCCTCACTCTTCACTCCCTCACTCCTTTGCTCTTCACTCCATCACTTCCCTCCCTCACTCCCTCACTCTCTCACACCATCCCTCCTTTTCTCCCTCACTCTGTCACTCTTCACTCCCTCACTCTCTTACTCTTCACTCCCTCACTCCCTCACTCTGCCCCCAGCATGCATTGGCAATGAGGCCTTGCCTCTGTGGAGTGAGAGCAGGCCAGAGGCCCCAGAGAGATATTCGCACTCAGAGCCTGGGCTGCAGTTTCCAGAGGTCTGGCAGCAGGGAGAGGCCGGAGCTGAGTGGAGGGCAAAGCATGGCTGGGCTGGATGAGTTCAGGAAGACTGCAGAGAGGAGGGGATCTTCCCACTGTGCCTGAGGAGAGAGGAGAGCAGGGAGGGAAGAGACCTGCCTGGAACAGAGAGGCGCTGTACTGCCCATGACCTGCCGGTGGGTGTTCCCCTTTACTCTCCCTGTTCCCTGTGTGGCGGTGTACAGAGGCAGAAGGCAACCGTACTGTGAAAGGAGGAAGCCGTGTGCCCAACTGGACCCGCTCCTTGGTCCCTTCTTGCTCTCAGCGTCAGAACTTCCTCACCTACACTGTTAACACACCACACGAGTTGAGTTAGATCAGGTACAGCCAATACTGTTGCACGCTGACCAGCAACACAGTTTCCATTGGGTCTGGAGAGGAGAAAGCACCCGTTCTGCCTGGGAGCTACTATCAGTGGGGGCTGCACGCTCTTCCTGTGTCTGCTGGTCTTGCCTGGGCACTTGGGCTTCGGCCCCCATCCCAGGGCTGTGCACACGGGTCCACTGACCCATGTCCAACTCTGAGCGAGTGCCCGGTGAGGGTGCAGTGCCATGGGCCGGCCGCGTGTTCCGGCTAGACCTTGTGTTGTAGCCTGAGCCGCAAGTGGTTTGGAAAAGGAATGAATGAATGCAATGAGGCTTGACCGTGACTCGTGGTTGGGGGCTTTAGGTAGAAGGTTGGTGCTGTTTGGTGACCGGAAGTACTCTGTGGAGACTTTTCTTTTGTTTCTATCAATTCAGATTCAGATTGGTTTCTTTCTGCATTGCTGGCCTTGGGTCATTGTTTTCAGGCACCAGTGGTAGCTGCTGAGGCTGAGTGAGGGCTGTTCCTGGTGCTTTGTCCTCCTCTGATGGCAGCAGCCTGGGGCAAGACCTGTGACCACCCCTCTTCAGAAAGGAGAAGGCAGAGCCACAAGGAGATTCTGTATTGGGCTTGAGCCTCGTAAGTGGAGGAGGTGCAAGCTGGAACCAGTCTAAGCCCGGTCACCAGGCTGCCCCGCTTTGCAGAACCACTAGCCCTGAGCGCCAGCCCTGCTCCGAGCCATGTGGCTTCAGGAAGGGCACTCACCTTGGCTTCCTTGTCCGAGGACCGGAGGGAGAAGAGCATCTGCCACCCAGAATGATTCAGGCAAAGCGCGGAGGACGGCGAGCGACATTTGCCAAGTGTACCTTAAGATGCTTTGCAGGTTGGGAGCATGGCCAGGCCTCCCATTTTCTGCTCTCTCTGAGTTCTGGGGAGGTCTAAAGTCAAGCAGGGGGTTTGGAATGATAGTACAGCCGCTAGGCTATTTGCCTTGCACGAGGCCAACCTGGGTTTGATTCCCAGCATCCCATATGGTCGCCCGAGCACCGCCAGGAGTAATTCCTGAGTGCATGAGCCAGGACTAATCCCTGAGCATCACTGGGTGTGATCCAAAAAGAACAAATAAATAAAGTTAAGAAGTTTGGGATTTTCTAGAAGGACTTTCTGGAAACACAGAGCTGGGCTTGGCAACCAGATCTGGGCTCCATGGGGCAGCTGGAGAGACCCAGGGAGGCAGGGGGAGGAAGCAGCAGCAGCTGGGGGTGGTCCCAGAAAAGGAGCCGCGACTGCATGGACAGGAGCCGTGCCCCTGCCAGGGACCAGGTGCTTAATCATGACCCTCAGCTCCCCGT